GGCAACAGAACCACTGACCTAAATCTCTGGACCCTAGAAGTCTTAGAATTTGATAACCAGAACTTGATGCTATAATCTGGTCAGAATATGAAAGACCAAAATAATAACAGGAATGTGGACAATAAAGGCCAGGCTCTGGGGATTTCAGTTGGGAGTAGGTTATGTGCGTTACATATTGGCAAACAATTTGCCTCCATTTTTTCTATGTCCAGACTGTGGGAAAATTAAACTAATTAATTAGACTAATTAAACTAGTGGAGAAGTTTCAAAGCAGGCCATTCTTTAGTCTGTGGCATGTCTACTACTGATTTCTTTTAGGCAAGTCTGCAGTGACAAACAGAAACAAAAAGCAGATATGAAAAGTTTACAGTATCACCAGAAATGAAACTCCTGTGATGTTGGGGCAACAAAAAGAAAGAATAGTTGCTGTAAATATGTACATTTTGCATCAGGATAATAGTAAGCATGGCATGAGGGCATCAGGAATCAGCAAGACGCCACCCACTACAGGATCAAAACTATAAATCTTTCATTTGAGAAAAAAGCACTTTGACACACTGCTTAAGCAGAACTACCTAAGTGATTGGTTCCTCACAATTCATCTCACCATGCTCAGTAATTAGGTACTCAGGGGCAACTGCAGTCCTCTGGGGAGACCTCACTGCTGCTAGAGCTGACAACAGACATTAGTGTTGTCCACTTGATGCTGGATTTTAGGCATGCAGAATGCAAGGGTTGTGGCATCACCGAGGCTTCCATCCAGATATCACAGTAAGACCCAAGAGGACAGGCAACACATACGACAAGTTTCTTTTCTGTGCCAGAAGCCTCTGAGCAGGCAATGTGTAAATACGTGAGAGCGAAGCCATAAGTACGGTGGAGACCAAGAGAAGTTAGCGATGTGAGGAATGGGGAATGTCTGGTGATAAAAGAGGAAAGCGATGAGAAGCACCATCTCAACAGAGAGGCCATACAGGCTACAAGCAACAAGGCCATAGAGCTGGGGAGGTGCAAGGCTTGGGAGTTTACAGCTCACCACAACCTTCTCTGGGGGTTGGACATGGAAATAGGGGATTCAGCATTTGCCCTACTGGGCCTCAGCCTTGTTTGATTCTATTCCTGTTTATGTCTTGATTCCTCCCCTTTGGAATGTAAAAGTTTTCCTTGTGCTGTTGTACATTGGAATTTGTCTTAGTTATTTTTATCACAGTTGGGACAAAATATTTGATATTCACAAGTTAAGGGAGGACAGTTTAGCTCAGTTTGTAGAAGTTTTAGTCCATAGTTGACTGACTCCAAGGCAGGGCATGGAGGAAGTAGCAGTAGCTGCTTGCCTTATGTCTTTCCTTTTTTATTTCATCTAGGCTACAAGCCTATTGGTTGATAACACCTATACCTAGGCTGGATCTCCCCATTATCCACACCCAGAAATATACTTAAAATAAATTTAGTGATTCCATACCCTTAATCTATATTCATACACCTTAGACCCAGCCACCTCTGAAAAGCCCCACCTATGAATGCTTGAGGCTTTTGTGAACATTTAGATGTAATCCACAGCAGCAATATTTAACTTTTCTATCTTTGCTGGGCTCACAACTAAGAGATAGCTTGAGTCTCAGAGGAGATTTTGGGCTTGGCATTTTCTGCAAGGATGAGCCTGATAAGATTTTGGTGCATCTTAAAGATAGAATAAATCCACTTTGAATAACGAGATAGACATGAGTATTTTTGTGGAACACATTTGCGAAGTCATGGTTTAGATTTTAAATGCCCCTCAAAAGTCTGTATTCTGGGGCTGGGGATTTACCTCAGCGGTTCAGTGGCCTGCCTTGCAAGCGCAAGGACCCAAGTTTAATCCCTGGTACCAAAAAAACCACACAAAAAAGTCTGTATTCAGAGGTGAGACTTTCGGGATGGTGGCTGGATCGTAAGCAGTGGGTACCTAACTCACCAGCAGGTGCATCTATGAAGTCACATCACAGTGACTGTGCTCTCAGAGCTGGGCCTGACTGGAAGAGATGAGCACTGCGGTGAAACCTAGAGGGCTGCTGTTTTCTGCCCCAAGTTCCTCCTCTCTGTTGTGCTTCTTAGCCACCACGGCATGCAGCCCTGTCCTCTGCTCTTGCTTTTATGTCATCTGGCTTGAAGCCTGTCAACTGCAGATGAATCCGCTGAAACTCTGAGCCAAAATAGGCCTCTCCTCCTTTAAGTTATGGGTGTCAGGTATTGTATTTCAGTGATAGTGATTGTACCAATAAATACCTAATACCAAAGGTATTGAGGACAAAAAAAATAATAAATTGGGCTTATTGAAATTAAAAAATAACTTTTGCGCATTGAGAAAATGAAAAAAAAACTTACCAAATTGAAGTAAATAATTGGAAATCATATTTATTAAAAGATTTCTGTCCAGAATATACAAAACGCTTACAAGTCTACAACATTATTAAAACATAGGCAAAGGGTTTGAATAAACATTTCCTCAAAAAAATGAAAAACAAAGGGCCCGTAAACACATAAAAAGCTGCTTAAATTCATTAGTTGTCAAGAAATTTGCAAATGAGAATCACAGTGGTCCATCACTTCAAATCTACTAGCACAGTTAAAATTACTAAGAGAAAGAATAAGGACTGATGAATGTTGGCAAGGTTGTATGAATGGAAAAGCATAAGTGGACAGTGGGAAGGTAACATGGTGTAATCACTGCACAAGCATGGTGTTTGTTCCAAAAGTGAAGAATAGAATCATATGCCATTCAACAATCCCACTCCTAGGTACAGAACAAATGTTTGAAAACAGAAGCTAAATCAGCGGACACTGCAGCACTATTTATAATAGTCAAAGGATAAAAATTGCACAAAACTCATCCAGATTCCTTGCTTTTAAAAATGTAATGTATCCATACAATGAAGTATCCATTTACCATAACCATTTAAAAAAGAATGAAGTTTTGATACATGCTAAAACAGGAATGAATCATGGAAACAATAATAATTGAAATAAGCTGAACACAAAAGCAAGTTTTATGTGATTTCGCTTATATGAAATAGATAAGACAAATTTTAAAATGTGAAAGCAGTTTAGGTATTGCAGGGGAGCGGAGAGAATGGAATTATCAATGAGACTAATTCTGTTTGTGATAAAAATATTTGGGGAAATGTGATGACTACATCTGGACTAGATGACTATGAATACAGTTAATAAATACCAGTGAATTGTATATTTACAATTATTATAATAATTGAGGAAAATAATTATTAATACAATTATTGGAAGTTTGTAGAAAAATTGTTCACACAAAAGTTGTTTTAAGGATAATTTGAGAAAGCTGGAAAACATACTATGTTACTTCTGGTGTGCTCTGGAGTCTAGGACACAGCTGAGAGTCATCTCCTTAACAGATCATTTATGGTCTGCGCATACATTCCTTGCATCTGCACATTTTCCCAGTACTGTTACTGAGCAAAAAGAGCCCTCTCAAAAGAGACTTTTCCCTATTTTCTGCACTCTAAATATTATCCCAGAATTCCAAGGAAGTAAGGACTGTAAAGTGAAATCCTTAGATTTTAATCCTGTTTTTCAGATTGCAGTGAAGAAGAGATAATGACTTCAAGGCGATAGTGAAGCAATTTGAGAAAGTCCATCAGCATGCAAATTCAACATCCAGTTCAACTGTGTACCTAAACCTAATCTCAAAATAAAACTAATTTTAATCACATGATGCCTCTTTCTAACATGCTTCAAACATCCGCTGTTGAATGATGGTGATCGTAACGCCCCTCAAAATGGAATCAGTCACTCACGTAGCATTTATTTCTTCTTCTATATGTCACAGTCCATCCTTTGATAAACTGGAAACCGAATATTGGTTTTTAAAATTAATTATACCATCACATCATTTATAAATCATTAGCGTGAATATATGATTGATGTTTTTAAATCTATGTATCCAAAAAAATGATTATGGAAGGAAACTGTTATAGTTCTCATTGCAAATACAGTCATGGGATCCTCGAATAGACAAGGGAAGTCTCCAGTTCAGAAGAAATATGGCTGTGTGCTCACGAGGAGGTGTTCTTCCTCTTAGGATTCAAGCTTCTGCACCAGTGAAGTGCAAACACTTAGTAAGTGAAGGCAATCTGCATACAAGTGTATATATGTGGTTTGTCAGACATAGAGAAACTGCTTCCTCTTCTGCCCCTGGTTTCCTTAGTGATGTGCACTGGTTTTCAAATAAATGCCAACACATGCCAATTATGGGAACAGAGGCGATTCCACTTTTTGTGGAGGAGAACATGAACTTCCTCAACCTAGTGCCATAGCCGAATCTTCATTCCACCATCGTACCTGGCCAACTGCCTCTGGATCCCGATATAACTGGATAGACTGAGTTCCAGAGACATAAACCTTTTTCCCATTCTCATTTCTTTTGCTGTAACATGAGTTACACAGTGAGAAATGATGCTTTCAGAATCCAAGGATGGGGATCAGGGCATTTCATAAGGAAATACATATATGGTCATACAATCAGAAGCATTGCTATCAGGGAATCTAGACTACATGGAGATATTTTTCCAGTGAGGGCCAAACATTCACCCTGCATCCCTAAGTAATCAGAGTGCTGACAGGTGGTGCGTTAGTCCTGGTAATGGCTTCCTGTTAGGCTCCTAACTACTGGAGATCACCAGGGTCATCGAGAGGAAGGAGGTCAGCTTTGGTGAGGTCTAGGCCCAGACATAAACTTTATCTCCATTTAACTGACTGAGAATGTGCTGGGATCGTGTTCTCAGCCAACAAAGAAAGAAAGGATTGACTTGTCTTCTTGGTTACTGAAAATCGCTTCTATTACTGTGCTGAGCATTCTCACAGAATACAAAGAACTACCTCATTTATTTATTAGTCTTCAAAGTTTATTCACAAGATTCTTCATCATATCCATTAAGAGCAATCTTCCCATCTATTCTTCCAAATGTCTCATCATGAAGACGAGCCACTAGTAACGGGCTTACGAATAATTTCTTGTATGTCTCTGTATAAACAAATTTGAGAAGAGAGAAAGGAGAAATAAAAAGAATCAGCATGTGAATACATTTATGTACCAATATCCCATGACAAATATATTTATCATGTATTGCAAACACACACTAATAACATTTAAAAACAAGTGTTTAGCGTAGCATTGTTCTTCAGGACTAAAGATACTACAGGCTACCTTGCTGCAAGCATTCGTTTTCACTTGGTGTCACTGTTTTGGAAAGACGTAACTATAAATGTAGCTCTGTTTTTTCTCTTCCTGGCAATTCTCTGTAGGAAGCTGTGTCTGTGGAGAGGTGCATGAATGTGCTTTTCTCTCCTAAAATCTCCCATCTGAGGCATTTTGGTTCAGTTATGAAGATTAGGACTCTTTTCTTTTCTATTGTATTCTTTTCTTTTATTTTTGGTACTGGGGATCAAACTTGGGACTGCCCTATTGCAAGGCAGGTGGCAGAACCACTGAGCTAAATCCCCAGTCCAATTAGAATTATTTTAACAGGCAAAACACACTGCCCAAAACTCTGTATGGCATCGAATATCTGAGCAGATAGGAATAAATCCCTTTTCCTGAGAATTAGGATTAAGGAAAATATCTGGATAAAACATGCACATTACTTATATTATTTACTTCCATAAGAAAGAAGGTGACGGATAAATGAGGGAGGAGGGTAGAGAGAAGGAATGAAAAAATAGAGGAAAGCAAGGATAAAGGATGGGAGTGTGAGGGAAGAAGCCATCACTTCTCCAACTTAAAACTGCTCATGTTTGTGAAAGTAAAACATATAGAATGAAAGACACCAAATTTGCTAGTTTCTTTTTTTTTTTGGTACCAGGGATACTCAGGTCCTTGCACTTGCAAGGCAGACAGCGGAAACACTGAGATAAATCCCTAGCCCTTCAATATTATTTCTAAGCACAATGTAGATTTTTTCTGTGTAAAATTGATGCTGAAATTGATATTAAGATGTTGTTCCTTTCTAAGTGAGAATGATTAAGCTAATTAAGTTTTCAGTTGTGCTACATATAGATAATATTTCTGCAACAAAATAATGCATTTTAATTGCAATTTAAAAAGCTATCCTTTTGAAACAGTGGGTTAGTGTAGGGAAAGTGGAAGGCTATTTCAAACTTTGCATTAATTTTGTTTTATCTTTAGGTGTCTTTAATATTTCCAAAATCTGACTAGTCTTTGCCATCTATGATATAAGTTCTTAGTCTATCTATGTGTTTTTACTATAAATACCCCAGGTTTGTGTACATTACAAAGAAAAGAGCACATTGTTTTTAAGCTTAATGCCCAGGATCACATGGCCCCGTTAATTGCATACCTGTTGAGGGTCCTCTGACTGTCCCACAACAGGGCTGTGGGAAAACATGGCAGAAACATGAGTCAGTCAGCACAAGCCAAAAGGAAAACAAGGAGTGCGTGGGGACTGGGCCCACTCTTTTTTTTTTTTTTTTTTTTTTTACTCTCAATGAGTTTATTGGTACTTTTTAGGTACACAGTACAGTTAAATTCATCATTGGGATCTTGTACCTTTACATGACAGGTCTTGGTTCTTATTTCTTCCCCATTCCCCCGGACTCCCTTTGCCTCCTTCACCCCCCTATTTACAAAGACTTTGTTTCCATTTTTTCCTTTTCTCATAGTTTTCTTTTCCCTTCTTTCCTTTCCCCCACCCTTCCCACTTCCTCTACTCCCTTAGCCCTTTTCTTCCTATATCACATTATCAATTATACTATTTGAACCTTATTTACCCCTTTAGTTTTTCACACCACAGAAACTACTCAGTATTTACACGTGTGTGTCCTATTTATTACACTTAAGAGTACGGCCTCAAGGTGCATTCATTTGCCTATAAAAATGACTAGTTTCTCATACTAGTTTCTCATTCTTTCTGTTTGTTTGTTTTTTGGTTTTGGTTTTTTGAGACAGGGTCTCACTGTGTAGTTCAGACTGACCTGGAACTCATTATGTAGCCCAGGCTAGTATCAAACTGGCAGCGATCCTCCTGCCTCAGCCTCCCCAGTGCTGGGGTTACTGGAATGCACCACCACGCATGGCCCTAGTTTCTCATTCTTTATGGCTGGGAGATGCAGATGAAATCAACAATGAGATTCCACCCAACCCCAGAAAGAATGGCTACTATCAAGAAATCAACCAATAACAAATGCTGGCAGGGCTGTGGGGAGAAAGGAACCCTTCTCCGTTGTTGGTGGGAGTGCAGACTGTGCAATCACTGTGGAAATCAATACAGAGATACCTCAAACAACTAGGATTAGAGGTCCCATTTGACCCATCTATCCCACTGTTGGGTATCTTTTCAAATGAATTAAAAGAATCATACCACAATGAAATATTGGCTCATTCTTTATAGGAACCTGCTCTCACAGGAACAAATCTAATCCCACCAGAAAGCATTAATTTATTCTTAAAAGCAGGGCTATCATGACCTATGTACCTGCTTCTAGAGCTCTCCTATTAAAAGTTAAACCACTTCAACCCCACTACACCTTGTGCTGAGCATGTGAGCCACTAGATGAATAAACAACATCCAATGCACAGCATGTAGATTTCTAAAATGAGTAGATCTCTTGAGTCACTATGGTGATGATCCAAACTAAGTAATTCTAAATCTCTTAAAAATATTTCCTCCGGCCCTTAGCTTAAAACAATGAAGTACATAATTTCTTTTTCTAGTATTAATAGAGTTCTTTTTAGAGAAAAAGTTTTAGGTATAAAATTTTCAGGTATCTTAAGTTTAAATAGGATTGGTGAGCAAAAACAAGTTTATTTTTGTTATTGCTTCCATGGTTTCTATAAGAAAAATAGAGCATCAGAGCAATGTCAGAGGATGTGAGCTGGGGTCCAGTCTTACACTTGACTAGCTGAGGTGTTGATCGCGTTTACCTGGACTTCAAACTGGTATTCCTACCCTAAAGAGGTTGTTTGTGGTCAAAATTTAATATGAATCAAGAAAGTAAAACTTCTTTACATATGAAAACTCTTTGTTAGATCATAATATTACGAGAACTTTTGTCAGACTGAACATCTTGCTCATACATGCATGAAAATTTAGATCTCAGTGAAGACAAATTAGTGTAACAGGCATGTTTTTGGGGGATCCACTATAAAGTCAGTAAAATAGATGACATTTCGTTGAACTTCACATTTAAAAGAAAAGCACACATTCTTTAGAGCTATATGAAAATATCTGTGCTTTCAATGATTTGTTTGTGTGTGGCAGATCAAAATAAATACGATATAAACTGGGTGAATGACATTCTATAAAATCACAAAATGTGTCTTTAAATGAGATAATGGGTTTAATGCATTTTAATTAGCTATCTAACAAATCAACAGATGTACATAGCCAAGCTTGCATAATTTCTCTACTAACAATAGTGACAGTCATTTTTAAGAGCTCATAACACTGCTTACATTAGGAGTCTTAATACGTCATTGATTTCTGGCCTAACAATTTGAAATAAGTTCTTAAACCAATGCTGCTTTGAAAATGTCGATAAAATTGATGTTTTCCTTAATCAAAGCAGCCATAAAACATATACCAGTAATTTGTCAGAAAGTATGGTAGCTTATGTCAAGAGATGTCATAACTTAAGAGTTTTCATGTGTACAATAGTCATGTGTTGTTAGACTGCACATGTCCTAGCTGATTTATGTATTTTATCTTTTCCCAAGGAAGTATTTTCACTTATGAGACAAAGTACAATATTGGTTTCAGGGCAACATTCCGTAGGCAGACTGCACACAATGACACCTGATTCCAGTGCTGCCCGACTGTGTGACCTTGGAAAACATACATGTTTCCATCAGGGCTTTGTTTATTGCATGTTCATAAATGAATCAATAATAACAATTTCTTCCCTGGATTTCTGTATGGGTAAGACATATAGGCATGTGCAAATTCTTCAGCTAAAATTTTATTCGATTTTAAATAATTTTATTTGATGAAATATAAAATCAATCACTCTAATCTTTGATTGCAAAATAAAAATATATATTTCATAAGATGTGCTAGTATTCTGTAATTAAATTTTGCAGATATAGTTCCGCTGTTGAGAAACACATATAAGCACACAGATACACATACGTAAGTGTGTGAAATCTTCTTAATGTCTCATATGGTAGCAAGGTAGCAAAATTCTGTGCATGGGATTCAAATGTTATCACTGGGAGCAACTTACCAATGCCTCTGTCTATGCCCACGTTCCTGCCTCTCACTTTAACCAGCCTTTGCCCGGTGTGGCTCCTTTCAAGGTCTAGTAAAGTACATCCCTAGGACAGGACTTGGTAATCAGTTGACAAACATCAGATGGGAGATAGAAACTGTTCTCTTACTTTTTTTCTTCTTCCTGAATGGACTGTTTAGGAAAAGATAGGAAAGAAAGAATTAGCAGTGTAAGATTTGTTAACTGGCAATGCCATCTTGAAAAAATACACTTGCTTTCAAACACTGGAACGATGTTTCAAATTCCATTCTCTGGAAAAGATGACACTCTACGCAGAAGGACTTTCCCCAGATGTGATTAAGGAACACATCCAAATTCATTTTACTTGGATACTTTACCCCGGTGCAATCACTTTTTCAGTATGTGGAGAATAGACAATGACTAAACTGATCGTGGCATTATATCAAGAACGAAACTGAGTTTTCATTGATCCTTCTGTCCTCAGATACTGCAGGATCTCTGTGTTCATCACAGGCGATGGCTACGGTTATATGGTAGGAGAATAAACAAGGTTAGAACAACGTCACAAAGACTAAGGACTATTTGCTTTCTAAAAGCAAAAGGTGAGAAGTGTTTTGGGAAGCTATTGTACATCCTCATAATCTACAGTAATTATATAAAATGAGCCACATCATACACAAGGAAATAAATTAATTCATTTTCCTGGGTCCAAGATATATTCATGCAACCCCAGTGAGCAACACTAAAGAAATTTCTGTTTCATTTTGCAAGAGAATCTTTATGAGTTTGAGATTGAATGGAATTTTTAAAGATTTTAGCTTCTTTGAAATTTTTACTCAGAAGATCAAAATACTTTGATTATTTTTTTTTTCCTCTGAATCCCTTCAGTCTAGTGGGTCTGATTTGCAAAGTGATTAAATTTGGGGAGGTTCATTTCTCCCCATTAAATTAATAACTGAACATTTTATGCAATTGAGGACCATTTCAAAGGTGCTTTAATTTCATTGTTCGCCTGTCTTTAACATTTGATTATTGGATTATATTTATGATTATGTTTTATTTCATTGGAAATAAAACACAGGATTGGCTGAACTGACAGTAGAGATTGATATTTTGGGGGAAATGAAATAAACTATGGGTGAAGTCCAAGTCAAGAATTTAAACCAACTGTGTCAACTATGTCCTTGCAATCCCAGGACTGGGGAGACTGAAATAGGAGGATCACAGGTTCGAGACCAGCCTGTGGTACATAGCGAGTTCAAGGCCAAAGTAGACTACAGAATGAGTACACACACACACACACACACACACACACACACACACACACACAAAGAAAAGGAAAGGAAAGGAAAGAAGGAAAGAGGGAGGAAGGGAGCTAGGGAGGAAAAAGAGAGGGAAAGAAGGGAGGAAGAAATTATGAGGACTTGTCTAATTAAATCATTTCTGAGACAGTCTTCAGAATTGTGTTTGTGTTGGGTTTTGGGTGTTGAATCCACAGGGCAAGCAGTCAACAAGGAAAAATGAATGTAAAATGGGACAGAGGGCAGAATGGGTGGCATTGCATGGGCTTGAACCACATAAAGAAGGGTCAAAAACGTATGCCAAGTTTTTGCTGTTTATGAGCTTGCTAACCAGTAGCCAGGGTCCTGGTGACAGAATTAAGCACTCACTTCTCAGCCAGGATTCAGAGAAGAAGGAAGAAGGCCTAGGGAAGGGTACAGCAGGTGCAGGTTCCACCACTCCTTCAAGCCAGCGAGACAAATCTCCAGGTCACAAAACATGCGCGAGTTAAACAACAGCTACTACTCTTCCTCTCACGCCACAAAGCATCCAAGAATCTCTCTTGTTTCTTGCCCATCCTAGAAAAGTAAGAGAAGAGAAATTCCCAGAAATGTGGTTCAACTCTAGAGTTAACATGTTATAAAGGAACTGAACTGGTCCTCTCCCTCTCAAACAGGGAGAGTGGTTTTGCTTCCTAAATTAACTTTTTCCTCTTCCCAAAGAGGTAGAGCAAGTTAGTACTTCGTGATGGTGGCATTTGTTTACCCTTTTTAAAAAAATAGGAAAATAATCGCTATAATTGGAACATGGAGAAAAATATTTATGTATTAGAAACATTGACCTAGAAAGTTTGTTTTGCTAGCTTTATCTTTCAGCGGGCTGCCTTCAGATCTGCTCTGGAGGTCAGATAACATCTTGTTGGCTCTCACAGCTAAGCCAAATTCTACTATATCCTTTAAATCATTAATGAGTCTTGGAATTTTTGCTACTGTTAGAGTAAAATATATTCTTTCTGCATCTGAAATTGGAAGGAAAAGGATGCTTAATATTACAATATGTATGTCAATAAAATATTTTGAAACTATGAGATGATTTTCTTTTACAAGCACTTAAATTCCTTTAAAGTGTTCATTGTATTTTTTTAAACTAATTTTGGCACTAGAATTACATTGACAGTGTCAACTCAGCTTTGCTTTCTAGTTACATTACATAGAAAGATGATTTAACTAAAATTTTGTCAAAATACTAACAATATGCAATATATATTTGGAAGTGCTCAACCCATAGTCTAATGGGAGAATTGTGCCAATTACACCTAAATGCATGATAAATGTATATATCGATGTGTTTTTTATTACTATACTTGATGCTACTTCATGACAGTTGCTCTTTATGCATAAAGAACATCAGGGTCACAGTATCGAGATTTATATTTCAAAATACATATTCCAATACCTTGGAAAATGTTGCATGTCTTCATGAAAATTTAGCATGACTTCATGAAAACATATATTCTGTTTTTGATTAAAAAGATGAGAGGCCACAGCAATGGAATTGTAGTGATAGAGTTTATGCTTTGATTATCCAACAATTCGCCCCTGGAATTTAGGACGAATTCCCCCAATACCCTGGGTTTCCAGTGAGTGAATGCAGCACTTGCGTTGTACTTTCCATGTGGATTTCACTGACAAACAGTGACCTCCCAGCTGGGATTATGAATTCAAGAACAGAAATAGCTGTGTGAGCCTAGTCACCAAAGAGACTTCGATCATTTGCAGAATACCCCAACATTTTTTTCTTCTTTTAAATTGAAATTGCTAAATTAGCCAATGAGATCCCATAATTAACTTTGGTGGGATTTAGTTTTTATTCAAGTCAATCAATCAAAATCAAGTCAAAAAAGTCTTTATTCTGCTGGAACCATGATAAGGTAAAGGAGAATATATATTAAAACCTGTTCCTGGAAAAAGATGTGCCTTATAATGCTTGGAAGAACTGACAAATGAGTTTTGAAAGGTATCGGTTTGGGAAAAAATGTTAAGAATCATAGATGTAGTTTTACTATAAGAAACTGTTTAGAACGTGAACTTATTTTCAAATGCATGTCAAAAAAGTGAGTCCAGGTGGAGCCCTATCTCCCTGAGTGTCGGGGAGGTGAGAAGGATCAGTAGCCGGGTATGTTTAGGGACACAGAGCACAGTTGGCCTCTAGGTTGGCTCAGGGTATGAAGCAAGCCCACTTTGGAAATTCAGAGACTCTGATAAGGCAAACACTCCAGATGGACCTGACTGAGGATCAAATGCAATCAGTCTGTTGTCAAAGGAGGCTACATCAGTCCATGACAACGAGTAGCCATAAAAGATGTCTCCATGAACATTCCAAGGCCACTAAGTAGACTAAATGATGATTCTAAATAGTTATTCTCTAGTTATGGAAAATGCGGGAGACACTAATTATACTTTTGTTGACAACAATGCCATACCTTGAGAGTTTTGAATTTTTAGTCAACTTCTATCGTTTTTTTTTTTAAATTGTGCTTACTGTTTTATCATCCAAAACTTATTCTTAATTCTTGAAAGTTGACCATGGAAATCAGGCTGCAGGAAACAGAAAAATGTAGAGTTCTTCATACTAGTTATGTATTAAAACATGAATAAAGAATGTCACATACTTATTCAGAGTCTGGAGTACTAAAACCTAGAGTGAATGGTTTTCAATCAACAAAACAAAATAAAACTAAGTCACACCCTTTCATTTTTTTAATTCCCTGAGACCCTGTACTTACCAAGATGAATACTCTGGTGTAATATAGTTACTACCCCACACCACTCGCTAATAGATAATTTAATGATTCAGCTTTAAAGAACTGGAATTCTGAATTAGATCTGCCTTACACAGTGCCCCTGTGAGAGATAGAAAACATCTGTTTCATCATGTCATGAAGAATAATTTAGTATAAACATGACAGAATCATTAAATAAAGGAAACTACATGTGTAGATTTGTGTGTGTGTGTTGGAAATGTAAGGGGAAAAGTGTTGTTTCCACCAAGAATCATTTATAATAGAAACAAAACACTTCTGACCCTGAAATCTGCTTTCTTTTTTTTAACTAATCAAGGAAAATATCATGACATGCAAAAAAGTGAGCAATTTTAATCCAAACTGAGCAACTAATACACAAGAGGGAATCAAACTATGAAGTCAATACTTAAATTAAAAAAAATAACAGTAGAAGATACACTGTCACTGATCCCCTTATACCACTCCCCTTGTTTCAAACACACATAATCCATCATTCTTGCCACTTTCTTAAGCTACTCTGGAAGTCCTCGTTCCTGGGTGCTTCTGAGTGTCATCCAATGGGACACGGGGCATGAAAACACGGTGTGTCCTCATCTATCGTGCTGACTGGATTTGGCACAATGTGACCTCGGAGGGACCCTTAACTGATTTTTTCTCAGCATTGAAGGAAATTTTTTAAAAAGCTAAATGTTTAGATTGCATTCAGGACGTCAGTATAGCCTGGAAAGTGTAGGAAAAGACATTCAAGAAAGCAAAAGACACACTGAGTGTTATAAGTTAAACAATGCAGGCCCAACCCCACAGTCAGAGTCCAGAATGAGTCTGAACATCTATGGACTTGAAAATACTAGAAGCAGCCCCCGCCTTAATCCTGCTATAGGCTCGCTGGTGAGGATGCAGTGCAGATCTCAACTGTCTGCCTACTTTGTCTGCCGGGCAGAGCCTGATTCGGACACTGCCACAAAGCTGCAGACCCCAAAAGATAACCACAGACTTGAAATCAGAAAAAATATTTTCTCCCCTCTTTTTTGCTTTTGCAGTTTTTTATTATTATTATTTGTTTTGGTGGGTTTTTGTGAGCATGAACATTGTAGTTCTTTTTGTTGTTGTTGTTCTGATTTATTCTTGTTTTTGCTTTGGTCCTTCTTTCTTCACTTGCCCTCTTGTCCAGCAGTTTTCCGAAGCTTTGGTAATCTTCCTTTTCCTTCAGCCTTGATTCCAATCTCTTTCTCTTATTGTATTTCTACATTTTTCCTCTTCTTCCCTTGAAATTCCTTTAGCAGACCATTTATTCTTGAGTGAGTTTTCATAGTTTTCTCTTTAGGGAATTAACTTAAATTTACATCAATTTGATTCGCATAGAGCCTCATGTTACTTACCTTTTGTTATACTCTTTTATTC